GAGTTGCTTCTCTTTTTTCCTTTCCCTCTTTCACCCTACCTGACAAACAGAATAGTAGATTGTGCTGACGGCTGATTTTTCCTCGTCCGTCTTTCCGTCTCTAGGATATCAGCCAATACTCTCAGTACATTGTTATGCCTCCATCAGTATCTTCTTTGCTGAAGTGCCTTCTTGCATCCAGACAGTATGTAGGACATTGACCCTTTCTGGTTGCATAGTCTGCAGTTCGGATCTTCCGACATTCCCCACTGGTGCAGATTGACGGGCGATGGAAGAGTGCCATATACTTATCTTAGCATTAATGAGATCCGAAAGGGTTCCATCCACCACAATTCCGCCGTGTAAGCTATATTTCTGGGATGTTTTATCTGGTCTATAAACCCTGCTTACTCACTTTAACAAATTTCTTCTTCCGTCTTTCCTCTTCTACTCTTCGTCCCTCCTTCTGAACCCTCCGTCGTCGCCCCTGTGTGTTTGCCTTTTCTCACTGATGGAAGCGTGAACAGCCAGCACCTTGCCTTCCGACACATGTTTTCCGAATTATGTCTCTAAGCCCCTGCATACTCTGCTTCCCCTGACTTGTTTATCTTCTTCATCCATTGGTGTACCTGGGCCAGGGTATTCTTCTGGTTCTAACCATCACCCAGTGTATTGTCAAACCACTTCCCAAACCATTTGATGGGATTGCTAATGATTGAAGGAATCTCCTTTCCTTGGACCTTCAGTATGTACTGTTGGCTAATTCTTCACAATGATGCAACGAGATTTCCGAGATTTTAACTGAATCCTTGCCATAATGTAGAGTATTGTTGGTGCGTCCTGTTACTATCCTTTTCTCCAGATCTTTCCACTTTGCAATGCTTTCCACACCTGCGATTCCCACCTGCATCTCTCCGAAGTAATCCATGATCATGTTTCATATCTGTTTAGGGACAAGGTAATGTTCTAAGGCTACCTCAGTCAATTTGTGTGGGACCGACCCATAGGCGTTAACAATATCCAACCGGATTACCATCAGGTTACCTCTGATATTCTTGGCTTCCCTGTTTGACCAGTTGACTTATTGCATTTGTATGCTCATTGCAACCAGAGAACCCGCGAATACCTCCCTTCTAGACTGAGGTGTCGACGTAGATGTTCTCCACCAGGTAAGATGTCATCCGCTTAGCGCGGATGGAAAATAATATATTTCCCTTGCTTGAGATGGTCCTAAACTGGTTCACTGTCTTTGAGTTTTTCTCCTTTCGGGAGTAAAGATTCCCTCGCTCTTGTCAAGCACTTCAGTATAATCCGTTATTCCACACTGTACAGATGAGTCTCCACAAATTCGGTAACAGCCGTGGGCAATTGTTGTAAACCTTGCAAGGTATGCCAGTAGGGCATGGTGTTTATCCTGGTTTTTCCTTCTTGAAAATGTCCCTAATTTCCTTGCACTTTAGAGGCTTGGAATCCAATGATATACCGGGACACCCACCTTCTAGATTCTAAGACTATCTCCCAGAGGTTTCGCTCTCCTGTAATCAGAGTGTACGCTGCTCAGATGATCCTTCACCTCCTTCTTGGAACTTTCAAGACGGCCTGGTCTTTCATCTCCAAAACCGGGACTTTGTGAAATGGAATTGATCATTGCTCTCTCCTTTCTTCCCTTCTGAAGTCTTTCTGCATTCCTTACACGGAGAAGTGACCATGTGAGGCCATATCTGAGCTGCTGTAACTCGAACAAACCTCTGCTCGTCAGGAGCTTCCTTGAATCGCCTTCCCAAGTCTCTCAGCTCACTACGTAGTTGCGCAATCTGATATTCTGATCTGTTGGTTGTTGTAGTTGCTAATACAGTGTGCAGCTTAGTCGCTTCCACTCAAAATCGCTCCCTGCTCAAGTTGTATGCAATGGACGTCATTGCCTCCGACGCCTACTCTGCTGTAACCAGTACAGTCACTTCAGGTATAGCTCGTCGTGGTGATAATTTTCCCGTGCTGTTTCATCGTTCGTCTTTGGCCACTGCCATCTCTCGAGCCACTTGTCTGCCCCTGTCTGATCACTTTGGGCACCCGTATCACTCAAGCTCCCTTTACTGACACGATACAACACTGAGCATGAAGACTCCCCAGTATTATGAGTTCATTCCTGCCTGAGTTCCTCCTGAGTCTTACCAGGGTCGATGACCTCTGCGAGCTGCGTAGGTTTTTTTCTAATATCCGCAATTGGATCTTGCTTCATGAATCTTCAGCCCTTTGATGTTCTTGCAGACCTTCCCACACTTCCACTTTGACTCGACTGGCTCACCACTCAATGTAGTTTGACCACCACTCGTATTTGTCCGCGTCCTTGACGTTTCCTGTTCGTCCGTCCGTCCGTCCGGCCGTCTCGCCGTCCGATTGAGTCTATCATCCTTCCCCTCCCCCTGCTCTGATCCCTGTTCTGTAAACTATAACATTAACTCTTTTCAAAAACTCTGCAGCATGTATCATATAGCTGATACCATGTACCATATAACCGGTACCCTGTATAATAAAATCCATGATACCCTTAACATGTAACCTGTATCGTGTACCACATAAATGTGCGCTTTACCATACTACCCATACACTATACCATACTGTGCCGTGGACCATATCACCCATGCATTGTTCCATGTAACCCATATGCTGTACCATGCATCCTGTGTCCTGTACTATACAATTTTTACTCTTTCTTAGATACCCTAAAGCCTTGACGACAAAAAATTGTTTTGTCTTACCATATACGTAACACAATCCCTTTACTATACATATAACTTGTACCCATCACAATATCACACGTAACATGAACATGTATCACATTGCCCGTATCCAGTGCTATATAGCTCCCTCCCTTGTCTTTCGATATAGAATACCTGTACCCATTTCTATATAACATGTACCCGTATAAAATGTTTCATTACCATTATGTTCATATTACCATATAGCATGTACCCATTACTATATGACATGTACCCATTACCATAAAACATGTTCCAATTACCATATAATCTGTACCCTTTACTATATAGCATGTACTTCATATTCATGACATGTATTCAATACCACACAGCATGTACCTTGTAACCATTATTCTATGGCATGTCCCATTTACCATGTACCAATTTCCATTTGACATGTACTCATTACCATATTGCCTGTACCCATTACCACAAGATCTGTGCTCATTATCATATCATCTGGACTCATTACCATACGATCTGTAAACATTACCATATAGCCAGTATCCCTCGTCATATGTCATGTTCCAATTTCGACAACATATCAATTTGATATAATGCCTTTTACGATAACAAAAGTTGACGGATGGACAGCGGACAAAACATAGACGAAGGGTGATTCAAACACCACACTATCATTGTTGATACTGATCTATAGAATTTAATTGGTGTTAGTACATCGCATGAATTTACAAGAGTCATTTTCGTTGATTTGTGTGCATTTATTGGTTTCAGCACATGAATTTAAATTATATTGACCTCATACATACCGGCCCTAAAGAGGCACTTGAAAGGCTGCATTTTAGCCTATATCATTCACATAGATCGGATCTACCTTCTATGATTGCAGGGCTATGGACTTGATCTCATTATGACCTTAGCCTAAAATGTGATAATCCCGCCAAATTCTGTCAGTAAGCCTGTCCAGAAAATTCATTAATCTAACTTTAGTGAGAGATAAGCCCACACATCGAAATATCTCTTATTTCTCTATAACAATGAATAGAATCAGAAAATAGTAGTAAATGCAAACCTTTTTATGTTTCCTGGATTTTTCTATAAAGATATTGAAAAACAATTTCCAAAACAAGATACCCGATGGGCCTACAGCGTTCACCTGGTATATTTGTACAAGCCAAATATCATGCCTCTAGGCCTTTAGGTTCATTATAAGAAGTCATTTAAATCCCCTGCCTCTAGGCATATGAGTTCCTGAAAATAACCGGCATAGATAAAGGTTTTAACACAGTCGACCCCTGTGACCTTGAATACCAGTCAAGGTCATTTCTTTCGCAAACCTTGTCGGGCATCAGCCTGGGAACATACCGTCCAATTATCATGCTTCTAGTCCCTTTAATTCATGAGAAGGTCGTTTAAATGTTTTAACAATTTTGACTATTGTGACCTTGAATATAAGTCAATTTCATTTATTGGGCTTCAGCCTAGTAACATAACTGACAAATATCAATCATCTAAGCCTATTAGTTCCTAAAGAGACCATGTTTAAAAGTTTAAACAAATCTGACCTGTGAACTTGAGTTTAGGTCAAGGTAATGTCTTTTCGCAAACTTTGTCGTGGAACAAGGAACTTTCCAGCCGAATACCTACACATTTGGTTCATTGGTTACTGGGTCGAGTTGTTTAAAGGAAAATGTTGACGACGGACGACGGACGCCGCGCCGCGGTATGATCTCAAAACATAAAACGGAAAAAATAAGGAAAGAAAGAAAGGAAGAAAGAAAAAAATGATAAAACCAGTACTTATTATTCGATATCAGAAAATAACCACATCGCCGGTAAATAATGACGTAAACAGGAAGCCGCCAACCACTTGTTGCCGTTATGATGTAAACGATTTGCTCAGGGCTTTATTTTCACTTGTCCGTCACAACTATGCGTTCATACATCCCTTCTGTTAATCTGAAAATGACGCCATGTTGGGTTCTGTCACATTGGATACTCAAATCAGACATAATTATTCAAATATGTTTTTATGTCTCGATACGTTCTTCTTATCAACCAAGATGGCGATCGCGAGACGTCCGTGCATAGATACACCACAGCTGTCCTCTTTCAGACGTCCATACGTAGAGATATCACAGCTGTCCTCAGGCCTCTTTGAGATATACATACATACATAGGTACGCCACAGCTGTTCTCCGTCAGGCATCTTTGAGACATACATGCATAGATACGCCACAGCTTCCCTCTGTCAGGCCTATGTGAGACATATACGTATATACATACATACATACACCACAGCTAACTTCTGTCAGGCCTCTGTGAGACATACATACATAGATACACCACAGCTATCCTGTAAATTGCAGGATTACTTTCAATAACACTATTCTGGGATCGCGCTGACTCCCAGTATGCATTTATTGCCTCCGGAAAGTTACCGAGAGTGTGGAAACAGATACCAAGGAGAGTGTGAACCATCCAGTAGATTTGTCCTCCACAGGTTTTATCACGTTGGACCTTTTTAAGATTGCTTAACGCTGCGTCACGTCCTCTGGTGTCTCCGAGCTCATGGCAGCATAGGAAGCTTAGGAACAAGGCATATGGAAGTGGTGGGATAAATATCATTTTAAATTTTCCGAGAAACTCTGGACTAAAATGAGGAAGATGTATCATACTGCGATGAAACCTCAGCAACCCTGTGTATACTTTCTGTAGTCTTTCATAGGCGTGTCTTGAGCGAAAACATTCCTGCGTGTAAAATGCTAGTAGATGTAAGGAGAGATCTGACTGAAAATATGATGCCAGTTGCATCACTTCTTTGCTCATTCCTAGTGATTTGCTGAAAGCTCCCATCAGGAAATGGAGAGTTGCCAAATACAACAGTTCCGTACCCATAACCGCGTTGGGAATCATCAAGTGTTTACATTTCCTCAATCTCTTGTACTTTAGCTTGTTTTGAGCAATCACTGTGTGAATCATTTCATTTGTAGGCATTGGAAGGCGTTTGAAAGCCCAAAAGTGCGTGTAAATTTCGTCAAATTCTGTCACTGATGTTGATAATGACTGCATTGCTGCCATAAAAGATTTCGACGTGCCGTGTTCGGTCAATAAGCTAATAGGCAAAGTACGAGCTATTTCTAAATCATGTTCCAAAACAATTGCCCATACAGGTTTCAAGTGATCAAGACGAGTTTGCACCTTTGAGTCAGAAATACTCTGCCATATTGGCTTGAAGTAACTACCTACTGACAAACACATCCATTTCATCTGACTGTATTGTTTTAAAAGGTTCAGCAATATTTGTTGACGCTGCCCATGTATTTTTCTTTGGAACAAGTTGTTGACAGGAATGAAGTAATTGGGACAGAATCCTGCCTTGACCCAAGCGATCAGAATATTGAAACAAAACCAAAAGCAGTAAAGCAAGTTTTTCTCTTGCCAAAATCGTTGAGACGTTTTCTCGATTGCGTGAAAAAGAATAGTTTTTAAGAAGTAGGAGCACAGGATGTCATCATCACCGACGGTTTCATTCAGTGTGTATTTAATTTGTTTTAAAAAATACTTCAACAAAGAATACAGCTTGAACTGGATATGACTAAAGGAATGAACTAAAGATCTTTCTGCAGTTGCGAAAGAGATTCTCCATTGTAACAAGGTGTTTTCAGAACATTTATCTCCAACTGGAACAAGATGACATCCATTCTGAACAATCTTGTCTATCAATGTTTGACACGGCCATCCGTGTAGACGTGGGCGTGTGATCCATTCTCTAGCTGCCTTTGGCCAGTTGTTACATGAAAAGCAAAAAACTGAATCTGTGTCAGTCATCGTCGATGTTCCAGGCGCACTTGCCTTCATTGCACTGCTTGGACCATTGCATTCCATTCGAATTCCCCATATTGTACTATAGTGACGTCCTAATTCCTCCCTGTATATGTCGCTGGAGAGAAATATTGAATTTTCAACTCTAACAAGTGAACTGACGAAAATCTCAGTGTATTTTCGTCCCATCTTTCCTAGCTCTAAATTGACATAACCCGGGCGACAATCTCCTTCTCTTATGTACAAAATAGTATTTTCGGCCATGTTCGGCAGAATACACTGATCAGAGTACATAACTGACACTGTCCCGTCCACCATCATGTTGTCTATATCAGATCCCTTCATATGAAGACCTTCTGACCGACTTCCGGTTTTAATGATAAAAAGAGGACTAGTGTCTTCTATTTCTAATTGTTCAGTTAAGACTTCCTTCCTCTGCCTTATATAAACCTCCTCCGGTGTCCCAGTGTAAAAAGCCTCAATATATTTCGATAGAAGCAGGGATATCCGCTCACTGTCTTTGGGTTCAATCATTGTTTCTTTAAATTACCAATCTGTAACGAACAACATGACGAAAATACCAACATGTTAAAAACTACCTGTATGTGTGAGTTTTATCTTAGCCATTCTATTGCCTAAGCTATTATAATATTGTCTGGAAAATCAATTTCTTCTCCTAAATTATTATAATATTGTCTGGAAAATCAATTTCTTTTCCTAAATTATTATAAAATTGTCTGGAAAATCCATTCCTTCACCTAAACTAGTATAATATTGTCTGGGAAATCCATTCCTTCACCGAAACTGTTACGATATTGTTTGGAAAATCCATTCCATCACCTAGATGGTTAACCGAGGCGTTAGCCACACAGCCTCTTCACTTTAAAACAACATGGATAGTGCCGCAAATGTAGTCCGCACTTACAAAAAATCAGCACATTTCACATAGAAGATGTTCTATTTCATTTTGAATAGGATTAACTAATTAGAACACCGTTATAATTTCAACAACTATATAACCTACGTTTCGGTTAGAATGTACGGGTGGAGGCGCCGACTACGCCTACACGCGGATGAATACACCGATAAGTAAAAAAACAGCGAAAAAGCGCATAAGGGTACAAGACAGATCGGGCGAGATAGAAAATCTAAGATTGGGTATTATGTGGGATATCTCTGTCTGAGGTGCGAGAAAATATTGTCTGGAAAAACAACTCATATTCATCACACTTTTATGTATGTCTTCTACATGCATTAAACATTTACTACTTCTTTAAAAAGTATTTGATGACTTGTGTATTATTACTTTCTCAAGATTTCTGAAGTTCTTCCATTGTCTGATAATTATCCAAGTATCAAAAAGTACGATTTACTTCTGATTATGTCTACGTATTTCATCAAAATTGCACGTTATTATCGCAACATTTCGAGGTATTTCTCCAAATTTCAGAATATTTTCTCAAGATTTTGAGTCATTGACGCAAAGTTTTAGGCAGGCTATCTCAAAATCTTAGGTTACTATACAGCTGTATAAGTAATTCGAACTGTTATGTAGGCATTTTGTGCAGCATTTATTGTGCAAGTACAAAGCATTAAGAAGTTATATGAGTTTTCTGAATCTTATGATGATCAGTTCTTTTAAGTCAATAGAACAAAAAAGCGGATATAATGAAGTAACATCTCCCAAAATAACAAGTCGAACAATGAATGTAAATATACAGATTCCATTATCCAAAGCAGAAAGACGACAAAACGAGGGGAAAATATCTTCGATAGTGTACAATTTTGCATTTTTTAAAACTTAGAACTGGCCTCTTTGGTCTTTTCAGCAAACGCATCATGCTTATTAATTTATGCATTTTTTTCGGAAATAAAACTTTGACATCATCAATGTTAAAATATTGGCAGTAATATTGGAAAATATGTCGTTTCTAACTCCACCTTTTCTTTATTAACCTTGTTTGTGGCCGTTTTGCAATAAAATGAATGATACTATATCCAACCATATCACACTTAAGCATATATCATCATCTACTGACCTAGACTGAGAAACAATCAGACTAAGATGTTTATGTTTTAATGTGAAGAGTTTACGTTATGCTCCATGTAGTTTTGATGAAAGAACAGTGTTTCCCTCTACACTACATGTATATAATCCGTTCCGCGTGTCGCCATCAAATGCTTTGATATCTGTCTGACATTTTGAGATAGGATCCCAAAATATAGCGGCAATAATGCAATTTTTTTTAAACAATCATTTGCAATTTGGCGATAAATTAAAATTTTGAAATAATAACGCAAGATTTTGATATCTAACCTTAAATTCTACAATACTTATTGCCCAAATTTCCATGTTGTAACTAGAAATCCTGAAACACTAGACACTTCCGTAACACCCTAAAACAATATTTGTTGAATAGTGTTTTTCCAGAATGATTCTTTCTTTTTTGTATGCAGATGAAGTACAAAACATACCTACTTTTTATCAAAACAGATGAGACGATATTCTTTGGTCACTTCGGTGGAGATCTGGAGCTCTAGTCCGTAACTGCACACGACTTATGAACGCAGCCTATAAAATACTTGAAACACAATAAATTATTTCCTGTTGAAAACACCATGGATCATGTGAAACAGACCGGCCTGAACTGTCGTGGTGTGTGCCCTTCGGAAAACGATTAAAGGACATAGGCCAATTTCTCATTTACCACAAATAAGACCCACACACATCCACCCACCCAACGTGACAGGTCTACCGACAAAAGGCAATATAATTCGAGTATGTTCTAACATGCGTATTTTGGTGACGATAATGAGGCTGATGGGCCTTTGACGTCAAATGTGACCTCCTGTCGATAAAGGGCAACATTAAATCGTGTACATATAGCTACGGATCATCAAAAAAATTCATATTTTTTCAAATATTATATGGATTTGTTTTATTGATTTCTAAATCAGAGAGATCGATTCCTGTGATATCTGTAAATAAATGAGATTAACAGCTACAACAAAATAGCGCAATTGTGATCATTTTTAAGAAATCGCTACTTAACACACGCGGATGAAAAACACATTTTTGTAAATCATGTTATGCATGCGCACTTGTGACGAATAGTATGAAATCGACATAACGAAGGCACGAAATATGCACGTAGTAGTCTTGATGTTTGCCACTTTCATAATCGAATTCAACTGAATTTGGTTATGAACAGGTAGTTCATAAATGACGCTCGACCAAAGTCTGTAGTATTCAGATGCGTGTATATCCTAAAATACGTTAACTGATATATAATATTTGTTACATATACAAATTACTACAGAAGAAGAGATCCTTGATTATAGGCATCCTGTACTTGTGGTCAGTTCCCTCAGTCAATCCATTACGTAATAGCAGTACAGGTTCATCAAAGAGTTGGACAAAATGTAATTGAAATCAAACTTTATATTTTTGAACGGGAAATAGATGTTTAAATTTCCATCTAGAACTTATAGATTGTACAATGACACAGAAAAATAATGAAACATATTTATTCAGTGATATGAAAGAATCAACCCTGTATTGTTATTTTAATTTCCGAATAAAAGCAATATTCATTGTTCGAAACAAATAGATATTGTATTAAAAACTGAAACAACTTTGATCTTACATGTTCGTGATAAAATTGAAATGTACAGGAATATCACAATAAAAGAAACAAGGTTAACCAGCGTGACGATCGGTCCGCCAAGCATCATTTCATAAATCGAAATAACAGGACAATGACGACTTTGTAACATATATGTCAATAGCGGGTCACATAAAGGATATATTTGTAATCTCGTAGTAGTTCATTAGACAAAGAATTACAAATTAGGTATTTGGTCAACTTGTGTAGTATTCAGTTGTCAAATTATTGGAGATGACAAGGAAGTATGTTTCATACTAGGTCATGTCGGCAAATCTCACTTTCAATTGCGTTCTGTTAATTTGACAATGGTAGATTAACAAAGAGGTGTTCCTGAAAGGTAAACGGTTTCTTCAATTACCACATTTACCATGCCAATCTTGTCAACCCAATATAATAAAGCCAATTTCCTTATGACTTTATTAAATTTTTATTTGGTTAGATGTTACTAAAACATTTAAATAGTTTTATACCAAAAACGTCAACATCATCACGCTTTTGTACTTCAAAATATCGTAGAATCTGTGAATACGCCAGATCCACGACCGTATAAGTTGAAAGCTTTTAAAGTTTACACTAATAGCGATTTTCTTGAGCAGAAGATAATCGCGAAATCGTACGACTAAAATGTATATGCTTTGAAAACCACGAAATTGAATCTTCACGAGAATATATGATTATACAGTGACCATTTCTTTGAACCTCAAAAAGTTTCATTGTCCAGACTCAGAAAGGAATCCATCAGTATTAACAACAAAAGGAATTCAGATGATACCAGTGATCATAAGCAAGAACATCACAAGAAACTATATAACTAGCTTCCGTCGGAAACATTTTGATGAAGAGTATTAGTTTTGTAGAAAAAAACTCGCAATACTTTCGGATACTTTGCAGATAATGTTATGACTCAATCAGTTGATAATTAAACAAATCTTCATGAACTTATTCCTGAATTTACAATTGATCAATATTTCACGTAAATATAATTTTGATAGCAAAATGAATTATAAGCTAAATGTTTATCGCAATACATTTACTATATTATCATGATGGCATTCATGTGAGCATGAATTCCAAACTGATAGCAATCGCATGCATAATACAAATGTAGACGGATGGAAGGATGGACTTGGCTATTCCTCAATCAATCAAACAAACAAACTGGATATTGGATTGAAAACGTGCTGCTGATAGATAATGACGAAGGGTAGTGGTCGCTTTTCTATTGGATATTGCACAAAGCGTATCTATGCTGAGTATGTGCACTATGTCTCGATATTGTAATTAAATGCACTTCGAATCTTTAAAACAGTGGTACTACCTCACTTTAGAATTAAATGTGCCCTTACCGTATCAATTAATCGACAATGCCCAACATGAAAGTGTACTTGAAATTTGGTCTGTATCTAACATATCTATAGGAAACAGATACTTTACTTTCTGTATACAATGTGAATCATTCACAGTGATGACGTATGCGTACCGATGTATAAGGAATTCGCCCAATTTTGTGTCATTGTCTGCTATATCTGTAGGAAATAGACACTTCATTTTACATATTGCAATTATCATATATAAGGAAGTTTTTTTTCCAATATGCGCAGATGTATTAAGTATTCCAATAATTAATTATATCCTAGTACTTTACAGGAAGTGAACCTTGACTCAAATCAACAATAAATCGAGACTTAATGTCTGTATCGTCGCTTACAAAGAATTACAGTTCAATTACAGACCACGTGGGTTTTCCCTGGGTTCTCCAGTTTGCTCCCACAATAAGTACCCTCGCGCGCTTATATGCAGGTCAACAAGAATGATTAGTAAAATAAATAAAGCTTATGTTTATATACAGTTCAATGCGTCCTGGAA